TCTACCGTCAACCAGAAAGCTCCCGCACTCTGCCCAACCGCAGGCATGCACGAAAGCAACCGCACGGGTCTGACTTTGGTGAAAATCTCAGTGAATGCTGCTCTAATGCCTCACGCAACATTCTGCTACCTTCGACTCCCAGACTCCCAGATACGCAAAGCAAGTGACGTGGACTACCTGATGGCTGAACCTGCTCCTCCCTGTCCCATTGTGGTCGAAACAACTTGTAATGGTTGAAAGAAAAGGTGGTCCGATGCTTTTGAAAGAGGGCAGAGAAAGGGCCTCAGGCAACTCGTGTTCAGAGTCGCTAATGCGGTTCTCCCTTATGCCAATTTTCTGGAGACAGCTTGATCATGCTCATGCAATGAAGATGCAGAAATATCGTCCAGCCTGAAAGAGACTCAAGACGTATCTCACCCTGCACTTCCTTGAAGATGTAACTGCCAGCGGGCACCTGGTCGTTGACGGGTATGGAGATCACCTCTCCCTCCATCGTCTCCGTTAGCTTTCCCCTGCCCCAGCCTTCCGTCGTGTCGAGGTGTTCCAAGACATCCTTGCAGAGACGTGGCGGGTTGCGGAGTGTGCAGGTCTCTCCGGTGTTGTGATTTCTGATCCTGATCCGGGGGGAAACGCTAACCTCCATGGCCTGTATGACAGTGGATTCCACCAGCTAAGCGATGCGGCGAAATTATACTGTACTAGATGCTGCACTCGCATGCAGTAAACGCAGCGCACCTTTGAGCTGCAACTCGCCAGCATCCAGCACTCTCTTGCAAAACCCTTCCTGAACGACCACCTGCCACAACCTCTTCTGGTACGACGCTGGCGGGATCAAGATGGTCGGTCAGTACCAAGGGGCGACACTTCCACCGTTCCGACCACAGTTATGTGACTTACCAAGGCTCGGGAACCTGCAGCGTCTGCTCCACCTGCCCCTCCAGCAAGGCCGAAGTTCACCACCACATTGAGCTCCTCCCCCGCGCTCGCCTCCCCAAGCTGAGTGGCGTCGCGAAGCGGCTTCCCTCCTGCCACCAGCTTCTGCTCCAAGGTAGGGATTGCGGTGCGCGCAGAGATTGCCCCCTTCAAGGTCTTCACGTCGGCGCTGCGGGGCATCTGAAGCTGCAGCAACCGGCCTTGGGGAATTTTCACAGAGCAGCGGATGGTCTGCTGATCTGCACCGCCCGCGGCCTCCTTGGACACCCAGGGATTGCCCCTTGAGCAGGCAGGCGGCTTTGGAGTCTTGGGGGCCTCTGCTGGCTGCTTCAACCCCTCCAGGTGAGCGCGCTCAATTGCAGCGAGTACCCGGTCGTACCCATCCAGCAAGTTCCTATCCTGTTCGTTCACCAGCAACTGCAGGCCAGTCATGGCTGCCGCTAAGCTACCGTCCCATGCAGCTCGTGTCCAGCACAGGCCTGCGGAACCCAGTTGCTCCCTGACACTCCGGCACACGCTGCCTGCGTGCTTGCGGAAGGCTCGATGACCCCTCTTCGAGAACCCAAGGGAGCCCTTTGCCGCAGCAGCCACCCCCAAGCGCATCCTGGAGAGGGCTTGCTCTGCAAAAGCGGGCTCTGCTGCCTGATCACGGCTCGCCATCTT